TGCCTCCATCAACTCTTACAAGAGCCATGTACTTCTCAAATGGTGATTAAACTAACAAAACAAGGCTTGCCTGGCCTCCAGGAAGCTCGTTCTTGGCGCTCCATGTGGAAGGACTGTCATTCCTCATCCCATACCCATGGCATGAGTAGCCCAGAGCATGGCCTGAGTGCTGTGGGAGTCAGTTCCAGATGGATTTGTGCAGCCTATTACATGGTGTACACTCATTTTCACTGTCTCTCTGTGCTTGGAAAAAGAGCAGTGTTCCTGGCTCTTTTTCCTGCTTTCGCAGCCATATATTCATACAAGGTTTTTACTCTGGCTGGTATGATCACAAAGGAAATAGTGCAGTAGCCTCTCAAATTAAGGGAAAAGAGCAAATCAAAACACATCAGTCTCCTGAGCCAGAGTCCCAGCTACCACAGGGTTGGGAAAAATGCCACGCACGTGATTTTGCTGCATGCTAAAATAAAGGGAAGGGAAATGAAAAAAATATATCACCATATCCTTTAAAAATTTGTACCTACAGAGTTGAAGCAACCACAAGCTATGCTGTACAGATGGTTTTTCTCTTGCCAGGGAGAAGTGCAGTGAGGCCAGAGTCTTTTAATCTGTCATATATATAACTGAAGATTTGCAGTTGGAATCAGACTTGAAAATGTAAATGGCTTTTCAATTGCAGAGTCTGGTCCGTCATAATGGCTTTAATTCAAAGCTTTGTCTGGGTAGAACAACAGCTGTTCTGCCTGTGGTTTTCCTTGCCTTATTTTATTTTTAGAATTTCCTCATATGTAAGATGCCACAAGATGGACACAGACTGGGAGACCTCATGAGACCTGAAATAAATAAAGTGCTCTCCTTCTCCACAAAAAGAGTTAATTCAGCCAGTGAAGAGTCCTGACCTGGACTTTTGACCACCTTGGCCACTCTCCCAAAATGGCTAATCTGGATAAAATGGTATCCAGAGATCCAATCTGCCTTTGAAATTAGTTGTTGGGGCTTTTTTTCCCCATGAAATCATCAGCTGGTAACTGCTGAGAGTACCCAACTTTTGCATATTAAAGTTAAAAATTGGGGAAAATCAGTGATTGGTCATTTAAAAATTCTACCATTAAAGCAAATTCAAGGGTATTTAGAATTGAAGTGTCTCTGGTGTTCAAATTCAACAACTGTCTGTTTTTAAAAGTGAAGGTACCTCCTCTTTGTATCCCCTTTTTCAGCATGTGTACATTTCTGCAGCTCTTGTTTATTAAAGATCCATGTTTGACTTCATAAAGTGCACCTGTTTAAATGTTGATACCAACGAGAATTTAGTAGAAAAATGGGAGCTGCAAGTCCAAATACTGCTGTGGACATATTTTCCACTGCAGACAGTGTTTTGTTGCTTGGAGACCTACTGTATGTTCTTGCTTTTGTTCTTTCTTCCAAAGTTGAGTTTTGTACTTCTAATACAGATGGAAAACTAGAAAATATTCTGTGTTTCAAAACTTGTGTAGGAGGAAAAGGACATGTAGGAAAAACCAACCACCAAAACAAAATCCTCAACCCAGCTCCCAGAAGACCTGGAGCCACCAGGAATCTTTGTTTGTGCTGGGAAAGTATTACGTGACTTCAGGCACCAACTGAATGACATGCCTTTCTTGCAAGGCAGGGATGTGTTCTTTTCACAACTGAGAATGGGAATTACGAGAACCACGACACTGCCCCTGTTATGTTGTTTCTGAGAAGAGAGCTCCTCTGTGGTTGATCTTACTAGAAACCACGATGTGGACATCAGGGTTCATTATGCTCCTCAATCATTCTCTGTGTTTTTTTCTTCTACTCCCTGAGCTGTCCCTTTCTATTTTTCTCTGTTCCCCTTCTGTCATCAGCTCTTCTCACTTGACCTTTTCTCTTCCGTATCTCCTACAGTTTCTTTGAAACACAGCAGGAAAGCAGGGTTGCCCCAGTCTGTCAGATGATGGGCCAGTGGCAAGGCTGTGCCTGTAAGTAAATTTGCTTCTGCAAGCAGATAGCATGAAGCTGTCTGTTGTTCAGATAGCAGTTTGTGCTGTTCTTCCAGGCAGCAATGCAGGAACATTATTTGCCTGCTAGAGTGAGACACTGCAATGCCAAGGATGCTTTGTCTGATTTTAATTTCCAGGCTTTTATTTTGACAAAATAAACCAAAGTGGACAAAAATACATTGTTGCCATTCAGGAAAATAATTCATCATCTGTTTTATATGAGTATGGGTAATAGAGATGGAATTAAAGAAATGTCATCTTTGCAATATGCCCAGACTTCTGAATGAGCAGGATTCCTAAACAAAATCCTTCCAAAGTCACATTTCAGACTTGTAGCTCTCATCAGCAGGACCTCTGGCAGGGCTGGCAGGAGAATGACTGCAAACACGGGAAGTTTGGAAGCAATCCTTTGAGCCTGGAGTCACACTGATGCCTGAGCTGTGGATTTGTGCCTTGGCAGGATAGATTGAAAAAGTAGAAGCCACACGCTAATCTCTGAATTGGAGATTTTAATCTCTTGAAGAACAAGGACCTAGGTATAACTTGAATTTAGATTCTGCTCTGGTGTAAACCCAGAATTAGTGTGCTTAAGCTCAGATACACAGGCTGATTTTTCAAATGCCTTATAAAATGTGTTACTGCCTTATAAAAAGCCAGGTACTTGTAACCTGCTCTAATTCAGTGGGAAACCACCCTTTATACCCATGTTGTTGCTCTCTGCTCTCTTGCCGTACTAACAAAAAAAGAGTATGGAAACTTCCACTATTCATCAAGATGCCCAGAGTGTCCTCAGATAATCCCTTGTGGGGCTGGATGGTGGGATCAGAGCCAGGCTCTGTCATCAGGGCTCCCCAGCTGGTCAGAGGGATGTGTTTGTTCCCAACCACCCCTCACTGTGTCTCAAGATGAATGGCTCCACACTGACCACTACAATTACTTGACAGTCCCAGGAGAGATGCTGTTTAAGCTAAAGGACAGCACTGAAACCAGAACAAATGTGTCTAAACTGGACATAATTGCATTCACACTCGTTATTAAAAGAAGATTCCTAATAAAGTTTTTGAAGAGCAGCCAAAATTATTAAAAGGATAAAGCAACTCCTAATTATTTTTAAAGTATAAGTTGGTATGTTTTTGGGAAGATTTGTTGAAGTGGAGCTGCAGAGGAGTCAAGGGTCTCAGCAGTCCTTTAACCTTCTTGTTTCTGACCAAGGGGGTCTCTTGGTAATTTAGTGTCAGGTGTTAACTCTTACCCACACAGGACATTGCCCTACTCTGCTGGTGTTCCTCTGCTGTGATCACACTGAGCTCTGCTCTCCAAAAAGCAGCAGAAATGGCTGCCTCCTGTATGCAGGGTGATGAGGGAAGGACAACACTCTGTTTAATTTAGCATTGGAAAGCCAACTCCCCTAACTAAGGTGTGTGAAAAATAATTTGCTCTATGTCAATGTTGGTTTCACTGGAAAAAGTCACTTCTAGAAATTGCCTCCCTGATAAACAAAAACAAAATCTCTAAAACGAGACATCAAAATGAATCACATTCTTGAAAATCTCCTTTTTCTTCCAGTCACAAAATGGGACTGGCAATACTTACACGCCTCTGGGAACTTCTCTGGGTAAGAAAATCATCATGGCATGCAAAATCTTCTCCAAAAAGGGCATTATTTGCCTGGTAATTGCTTTTATTGTTTTGGTCTAAAAAAACCCCAAAACATCTCCACACAAACTTTGTAGCGTTACACTGAGTTTATTTTGAAAAAGAAATCAAAGAATGTTTTTTTAATCTCTGAGCCAGATGAGAAGAAAAAACAAACGTATTCCGCCATATGAAAGAAAACAGATGAGAACTTTCAAAAAATTTTTTAGCCAAGTTTTTTTTTTTTAATTTTTTTCCACTAAACAGCATGGAAAAAATGAAGCAGAGATGGTGAATGAACAAATAGGCTCTGGTTTTAGGAAGACCTGCTTTTGGGGAGCAAGGGTTTTGTCTGTAAGGCAGTTTACTATCCCATTTATAGATGCCCAAGGTATCTCTGAGTGTGGGTAAGCACTGGGAACCTCCTTCTCCAGCTCCTGCCGAAGCCCTGGGGAGCCCAGGATGTCCCAGCTGGGGGCAGTGCCAGGCATGGGCAGGTGTCCCACTGCTGGCCTCTCACCTGGGTGAGCCCCAGCACCTGCACAGGGCAGTGCAGAGCCTGCTCCGGGGACAGCTCATAGAAGAGCCACCATCTCTGGGGAACACAGACACCCGCAGAAGTGAGGGAGATAAAACAAAGCAAGGCTGCAGACTGCTTGTTCCCTTTAGATGCTACAGATGTGTGAGCTGCTGTGCTCTTGGGCAAGGAGCCTGCACTGGGGAAAAGTGGTTTTGTTTTCTCACATGTGAATTGACTTAGCCACCTTTCCCCTGCTCCTTGCAGATCAGTTTCTTCCCACAGCCAGTGGCTGCCCTTCGACCAGCTCCTTGCCTTGCCACTGATCAGACACCAGTTCCTGCTACTTGCTAAAAGCAGAGTAACTACTTGCCAGGAACAGAAATTTAAAAGTGGAAGCCAGCCGTCAGAGAGAGCGAAGAGGAGTAGCAAGACCAGATCAGCCATTATAAACAGAAAATTTAAGCCATCATAATGGCTAATGTGGGGACTGATACAACATAGTTCAGGACATCCCTCACCTGGAGGCCCATCTGAGGTGTTTGGTGTGCTAGGACAGTAAGCAGCAAAGGGCTTCAGCCCTTCTTGAAGGTCTTGTTCAGATCAGACCTTCAAAACCATGTTCCTAGCCCCTATGTGCTGCAAGAATAAGGCACTAATCCTGCAATTACAGGATAAGATAGCCCAGTCATGCTCAGAACCAGGGTGGAGTAAGTGAAAAAGGAGGCTTTAATGGAAAAAAGCTTCATCAGTTTGATTTTTAATACCAATGAATGTTCTGGGTCCACATACCTCTTATTTCCACATCCCTCTTGGTTAGACACACATGCACAGAGTTAACAACATTCATTTCTGTGTCTCCACTTAGTGATTTCTTTATTGGAACATTTGCAAGTATTAATTATAAACAACAAAGGAAATGAGTGTTGAGATTTATAAGCTCCAATCAGCTGAAGGCATTTCCAAATAAATTAATGAAACAAGTCAGAAATGACATTAAGAAATCCAGAACTTAATGTAAATAACAATGACTTTGTACCTTCTCTGCCTTTCCCTCTTTTTCTTCCAACAGTCCCAGTGCTCGCCAGGGTATATCAACTTGCATTTAATTTTATGTAAACAAGAAGGATGATGGGAATGTGTGCTCAATATGACAAGTTACAAAACTCATGTATAAGAAGGAAAGCAAAACTCAAGCTTGGACAAAATAATTTGATATCACTTAAAACTTTCCATACAACCTGCATTATTACTCAAACCACACAGAAAGATTTGATGGGGATTTTTTCCTATTAAGGAGTGGCAGGTGTGACTTTCATGACAATTTCTTGGCCCATTCTGGTGTCCTGCTTGCACTCCTGCCAATCATCTGTCCTTTCTGTGACATTTTCCTGAGCTGTCTTAACACTCTTGGTTCTCTCAGTGATTTCAGTTCTTGTTGCCATTGGACACCTCTGTTTCCTTCCTGCAGGAATACTAGGTCAAAGGGATGGTCTGCATCAGCATGCCTGGCTGCTCAGGCCATATTTTAAGGATGACTGGACACGTGAGGCATGCAACTGCAGCATCCCTCTTCATCCAGTTTTGTCTAACAGCTGCAGTGTTTGGTTCAAGTGCGTGAACCCAGTCACATCTCATTTCTCAGCGTCCTCAGCTTGTCAATCCTCTGGCTGGAGGACACTAGATAACTCTTGGATAATCTGATCTCGTGTATGTACCATCACTGCTGTTGCTGAATGAAGAGAAGGATGAAATCTGGGCAAGGAAGCAATACAGCTTGGGCTTAAACAGACATTTCTCATTCACTTCTTTTGGTGACAGAAGTTGTGTGACATCAATAAAAAGCATGAAGAATGTAATTTTATGTGGTAGATGCTCAAAATAGGCTTACTTCACCTAATAAGCCAACATTCAAAACAAAGGTAGCAGTGCTTCCACTTCAGTGTGACTGTTCAAAGTTCCACTCACCAGGGTTTGTGAGGCTCTCTGGGCACACAAAATATTCATTATCAAAAAATAGCAGTTTAACATTATCTCCACAGACAATGTGTAAATATAGATGTAAACATTACATCATGCGGCTACACACAACTCCTCAGTACAGCATGACAGTGCATGGCAGAATCAAGTTGTATTCAAAACTTTATGAAAAAGCCAAAAGAAAAGGCTCACGAAATCCAGACTGTCTGAAGACAAGCCCTGCCTCCATGATGGTGACACAGGGTTTCTGCAGCTGTAATACATAAACTTTTCACTTTTAATTAAGCAGATGCAATTTTCATGTCGTTCCTGTCTCATATCTAATGAGACACAGGACAAATTCCCAAGTGTAACATTTTGTGTATTTTGAGAAAAAAATATAATTGAAATTTAAAATACTGGAGGGAGATGTAGGGAAACAGCAGTCTTTAACTGATTGATCTTAGGAGCAATACTTGAAAATCTGAAGTACAAAATCTTGTCTCTTTCCAACAGAGCTGGAGTATTTCAACAAACTTATCTGCATTCAGCCAAGGTAAATGGCAGGTCAGGAAGCAATGGAAAAACAGCTCTCCTTCCCAAGAAGCCAAAACAACTTCCTTCATTGTAGAGCATGTGGCCATGAGAAGGGTATAAAAACTGGAAACAAATACCAAGGTTTCTGCTAATGAATTAACCTACCAATTTTTTGAATTCCTGATCAGCAATATTGCTGCCTAGACAACAGCTCATGGGACTATGGAGGGAACTGGCTGAGTAATGGTATAATCCCTTTCTGCTTTGCAGCATATTTTATTTTCTATTTTGTTTGGGAGACAAGTACCAGTTCAAGAAAACAGAGAGATCGATTTACAAAGCACTTTGGAGAAGTGCAAGTTTATTAGACTTTTCTGAGTATGGCATGTTTTTCTCACCAAATCTTGAAATCTGTCTTAAAAACAAACATATTTCAGTGTGTGCAGCTTCTTTGTTTCTGTTTTCATAAAGTTTCGCATCTGGGCTTGACCTGCAGTATGTGTGGCAACTACTGGAGTAGAATTCCTTACAAGAAGGGAGAGGGAATGAAAACATTTCAAAATTATTATTAAAAGTTGGAGATTTTCTCCTTCCATGGAATTTTCTCCTGAGTGGAAGAAATGGAGGGAGGGAGGGAGAGCTTTTATTAAAATGGTCTTTCCATAGTACCCCGATGAAACACTGGCTGTGATCAGAGCTATAATGAGTATCTAGTGCTTAGTCAACTTAATTGTTACACATGCAGACTAGACTGCATACAGTAAGGAAAACACTATCTAAAATCTGCTTTAAAAGTTATTTAACCAGAACAAATCATCTGGGAAAGTAAAAATATTTCTAACTGGAAAAATATTTCTCTATAGCTGAGCTAGGCCTGACAGCAAACCTTAATGAATTATTAGTACCTTTATTGTTTTCTTTGGCCCCTGTGCACTATATTTGTAAAAAAAGTCAGTAAAAAAGAGAACAATTGTAAAAAGCAAATATTTTGTACAAAAATACAAAGTTTTAAAAGCTCTTAAAAGTATATTCCATATTACTGATAAGAGTTGGACTATATATATATATTTATATAAAATCTATATATTCGTGTATCTGTATAATTTTCCTACATTTGGGATTTTAGCAAATTAAGCAACTGTTTACACAGTTGCTTTATATGTTTTTCTATATGAGTGACCAACAGTCTTACTCAGATTGAAAGAATGTCTTTTCTCAGAAGACACAAGCTGCTTATGGATGTGGTTATTGGTTGGGAAGAAAATCTGAAACAGAGTTAGTCCAACAGTATTTCCTGATGCTGAGGGTCGAAAGGCCTTAAATAATTACAGGATACTGGAGAAGAGTTATTGCTGAATTCCTTGATGCTTTTAAATCAGTTTTCAGTGCTTGTTTTTTCTGTTTTCATATATTTTTTTCAATTTTGGAAGTCAGTGTTGTGCTTTCCCAGGATTTTCTTCTTCTTTACATAAATTTCCTTAATATGAAGGTATCTGTAAAGTTACAGCCTATTACACTCCAAGAACTTGCTCTGCAGAATCAGAGAAAACAAGAAAAACAAAGAGAAAAAGAAATCCTGTAAAAAGCCTGTGAAGATTAAACGAATTTCCAAAAAGAAGACTTACAGAGATCAGGGTATGGAAAAAATTTATGCAGACTCGTATTCAGATCCTGTAAGTCCTGAAGGATAAATATTTGTAAACCTTTAAGTTTTCTTAAAATAACAAATGTATGTAGGAAAACCAGGGTAAATCATATTGTTACTTACACATGGTCCTTCACTCTGTACATCCAAACAGAATTATACACACAGCACTTAGTTTTGACTTAGGGAACTATGGATGGGATGTAATTTTGGCTCTAGCTGACATTTATGTCTGCCTTCACTAAAATTCAACCAACAAGTTTCCAGTTGGAGGAGCCAGGCACCCTTGGCAAAGCAATGTTTAAACAGGTTGTACGGAGGAGATAACTTTTCAGGCAGAGCCCCAGCATGAACACAAGCACCAGCTCTGACCACGTTCTGTGACCATGGGAACCACCTGCCCTCTGCTCCTGCAGAAATGCCTGTGTCAACAGAAAGAGATGCCCTGTGGCAAACACCTGCCTGACTGCTGGCCATACCAGCAGTTTGTGAGTCCTTCACTCCAGCTGCAAGGCATGGGATGCTTATGGCCTATAGACCCAGCTTCTCAGTCCCATGGGATGTCTCCTGGCAGTGACGGGAATTTTAAGATCTCCTTAGCGGTCACCAAGTGCCTCCTATTGCAGAAACTTTCTAAACAAAGACTTTCTGGTTTTTGAAGGCTGGTTCCTGAGCCACCCTAAGGCCAGCTTTCCCTGTTGTGTGGCCACACATCCTATAAAGGCAGCTTCCAGTGTGGGTAGGATCTGGAGCATGTGCCAAATCATGCCCAAAATTTTAGGCATGTGTAAAGCCTACAGGAAATGGTCAAGATTCTGGGCATTCCATGGTTATAGCCAGCTTCAAGGCTGCTTTTGGGCAAGATGGAATAATCAAACCAAGGGCCTTGCTTACCTTTGTCCATGTCTTTTTCACAAATGAAATTGTTAATATCTTCACAGTAGAAGTCATTCCAGAGCCCAGCATAGATCAACCCAGCGCAATCTTCCCCTGGCCCGTGCTCGTGATCCCAGTTATCAGGCTGCCCAGGTTTCCAGTTTCTTTCCACAAAAAAGCAAGAGATATGATTGCACAACACAGCACACATGGCAGGTTTTCACCACAAGAAATTAACGAAAACATCATGAGATCTGTTCTGAACGGGAAACACACATTGAAACAAACAATACATGACTCTTGCTGAAAATGGAAAACAGATGTATCACAGAGAAGGGAATCTATTTGGCCTCAGGCTGCCAAAACTCAGAGACCTAAATTTAGACCAATGAACTTTATTTTAGTTTCTGAGTGTACATGCACACACAGTGGGAGTGCTCCGTGCTCCAAGTGCATTGCTTCAAGCCTGCGAAACCTGCACACCCCATTCCCACTAGCAGATGGGACTCAGACGAGCCCACGGGCTCAGAGGTAATGCCAAGATGGTAACAGCCTGCCCTTGCTCACTGCAGAGCTCTCTGACTGCACCAAAGGTGGGCATCTTGGGAGGAACAGCAAAGATCCATGTGTTTTAGGGACGTGCTCAGATGGGAAGGGAATTCTATTGACTTTTAAGAAATGCATACAGTATATTTACACACATCTTTTGAGATTGTTGTCTTTGATGGTGAAATTGAACGTAGCAAGTAAAAAATCTTGCAGCAAGTGTTTCCTCATCCTGTTTTTGTTTAACAAGTGAGAAATGCTTCCAACCTCAGGATTTAAAAGCTCAATTTTCCTGAAGAAACAGGTTGATGAAGGGAGCTTGTGATTGCTGGCTGACACAGTCCATGCTCAGCTAAAAAACATGCCTGCCTGACACAGAGTGTCCAACCAGGCACCTGGGAGGACATACAGCTTTCCAGAAGTAATGAAATACTCCAAAAATCTGTTACCAACAGGTCTGAGGTTATGACAGAGCACCTAAAACCATGATGCAGTGGAAATCTACTAAAAGCAGCACCTTAAGTAGGATCAGTCACGGTGCTGCCATGAAGAGGAAGAAAGATGAAAATGGGGAAGGAGAAAAAGGGGAAAATATTATGGCTCATTTGAAATAAATCTGACTTTTTCCATGTTTTTCATCTAAATGAACACCAATGAGATCACAGCTAATCATTTCGTAACATCTGACTGACTGTGTAGCCTGTTTTTCTGAAGCACAGCATGTTAAGATCTATAAACTCTACTCCTCAGTATTAAAAATTTGGGTGGTTGCAATCTGTTCCATTTAGGACAAATTAGGTGTAGCCTTAGGATTCCTGGAAAGCTGCCAGTTCAGTTCTCAGCTGGCCATAGACAACCTAATTTCATGCATTTTCCTTATGTTGAATGCTCTCCGCTTGGATTTGGGCTTTATCTAAAGACTGGTCATTTTTCATTAGAACGAGTACTCTATTTATAGCCAGTTGTAATGCAAATAAGGAAAATTCAAACCAAAACAGTAAAACTGTGCTTTCCATCTCAACTTTGTAATAAAAGTCAGAAGCAAAACTTTTGGCAAGAAACACTACGCTGCATAGTTATGTGATTCTTTCATTCAACATTCAGCTTTCTTTCTGGCAAGGAAAGGAATCCTTGTGCATGGAGAAGGCAGAGAGAAAGAAACCCAGCACCCTCAGTAACAAATTAAATTATTGGCATCTACAGCCATCTGGATTCATTAGATACTTTCTAGATGCTGCTTTTAGAAGTGTCAGCAAGAGTGAAAGCATTGCTTTTATTTACGTACGTGTAAACTGGTAAGGATCCATCCAACCATCTCCATTCATTTTCCTTCTCTGAATCTGTTAGTCCAATCCAGAAGCTGCCTTTCCCAATAATCTGCCTTTTTAGCCATTGCTGTGAAAGAAAGATCTTAGTCCATAACAAGGACAACGTTTTTTGGGGCCAATAAACCACACTGGTTTCATAAACCTCTTGTTATTAGAATATGGTGGGCCAGAGAAATTTTTCTAAGCTGAAGGTATGTTTCAGGAGTTGGCCTTGGGACCCCTTGCCTACACTAGAATCCCTTTCATTGTTTGCAATGAGGTAGAGAGAGCTAGGCATGAAAATTGGGTTGACATAAAGCCACAGCTAATATCTTACAGACACAAACTGAAAAAACCCCTAAGAGTAAGGAATTGTATCTTGACACCTCCACTGCCATGTTGAATAGTATTAAAAATATAGTTAGATTCAAGATACTTTTGGGTCATACTAGTCCTAGGCTGCATGTATTAAATCAGATAATTTAAAATTAAAATATGTTCACTGCTGCAAAAAATACTTTGATAGTACACAAGGCGTAATGGATTCCATCTTTAAAGGTTCAAAACTCCTACAATTCTCAGCAGCTTTTCTGACTGCTCTGCCCCACAACATTCAGGGTCAGCATCAGTTCTGCTCACACTACCCTGCTGCACAGGGAGAAGCTGCTGATCAGGCACAGGATGGACAAAATTCTAATGAGTCAACACGGTGTTTACTTCTACTATATGAATTCATGGTGCTCTCAGCTTCCCACCATCTTGTGGTTTCTACATGTTAAACAACTTCAAACTTCCTCCTTGAAAAACAGCAAGAGAAGGTAATTACCTGCTCCTCTTTGTTGTTGATGATAACCAAGCGTGATGCTTTCTCTTCACAGAATAACTTCGCGTCTTCAAAAATTTCTCTTTCAGTGGAAAAGTAGTAGCACTTTTCCGTATAGTTCTTCCAGCGGGGTAAACAACCTGTGATGTGAATTTTTTTGTGTTAAGCCTGTTATTGGTAACTCAACGGAGCAGTAATAAATGGAGGAGCCCATACCCATCCCCAGCATGCAGTGTGTTGGTGCCTTACCATTAGCCTCGGGCACGGGCGTAGGTTGACTCTGTAGTGCCATGGGCATCCCTGGACCTGGTGGCCCTGGTGGGCCAGGTGGGCCCTTTGGGCCAGGCAGCCCAGGGACTCCAGGGAGTCCAGTTATTCCTCGCGGTCCTGGTAGCCCTGGGCTTCCCACAGTTCCTTGCAGACCTTGAAATCCTGGTGGGCCCTGGGGCCCTGGCGGACCATCCTTGCCAGGTGGCCCTGGTGGCCCTGGGTCGCCGTTTGGTCCAGGCAGACCGGTCTTGCCAGGAGAACCTCTCTGACCTTTGGAGCCAGGCGATCCTCTTGAACCTTTCCCTCCTTTTTCTCCTGGTGGCCCGGCTGGCCCAGGTGGGCCCTTCTCACCTGCAGGTCCTGGTGGTCCAGGCTCTCCTTTCTCTCCTTTTTGTCCTTTTAGGCCAGCGGGGCCAAGAGGACCTTGAGGGCCTCTGTCACCTTTAGGTCCCCTTGGACCAGGAGGGCCTGAAACAATGTAAGCACAGAAAGTGGGGATATGCACAGAAAACAAAACAAAAAGTCCACGTGGGGTGGGCTTGTTTAATACATCTCAGACCAGCACCTCTGGATATTTAACAACACAGAAACTGGGCTAACAGCTGCTTTCATCAGTACTTGTAACAGTGCAGCTGCTTTCCTATATACTGTTGTCCTTTCCTTGACCTCCACCAAATACAGGATACAGAAACTACTCTGTTACACCCAGCCATGTGAACTGGACAGTGACACTGTCCCCCAGGCGACCAGCCAAGGTGCCAGTCTGTGGAAAACTCTGTGCTGTTAGTTTATGCACTAGTGCTGTGTGTTGGTGGTACCATTCCCTCACTCTGCTACGCTTCCTTCTCCTTCTAATCTCATCTCTCTGCTCTTAGTCCCAGGACTTTTTCTCCTGACCCTGGTTGCTGCTCTGTCAATAACGGGGTGTCAAAAAGAGACAAAATGATGGATAGTGAGCAAAAGGCCAACTGTGGGAAAGACCAGAAGCTGCAAATTGGCCAGCTCTAACAAGACAGGGAATGATAACCCACGACAGGAAATGGCAATACTGTGATGGCAATAAACAAAAAACAGTTTGGGATTCTGTTCATGGATGAGCAAATCCCTTGTCAATAGCTTCCCACCCCCAGCATTAATCTACATAATTCAAACTCCTCCAGAGATAGATTTCCAAGCTGGAATCATTTAGGCTGGTTGAAATGAGAATGGTTAAGGTTACTGATATGTAATCTTGGCTCTAATGCAGCCTTAGTTTATTTGGAGCAATGGATTTATATTTGTGATTAGAGGTTTAGGCTGGTTCACATCTGATTGGAAATATGAGTGTTCTTTTCATTTGGGATAATATTTGGCTGGGAGAAACCTCCTAAACCTGATGCTATTTATTTCTGGAGAAAATTAAGTATCCCAGGATTAAAAACTAAGCAAAGTAGGATGTTTTCTGGCAGACTAACAACTGGCTTAAAGTGAAATAGCAACTTGTTTTTCACTAAGGGTGGACCTTTCTGGGAACAGTCCAACATATATTTTTTAGCCATTTCCTCCTTACTGAGGATTGGTTTCTTGAGGTTCCACACCTTCACTCACTTATTTTAGAAACTAAATCAAAAGCAGATCCAGTCAGTCAGTCAGAAAGAATAAAATTCTGCTAAGTCAGAACCTTCTTTCATAACATCCCCATTTTAGCTATGTAAAAAAGGCATAGAAAAATTAGTACGGAAAATTCAAGCTACATGTACATTTCCAAAGTTTAGGATTAGATAATGGAAAACCCCAAGATTCTGTACCAGCATGCACTAACTTCCACAGAACTAAAGAAGTAATGCAAGCAGGAATTCAGCATACACTCATCATTAGGGAAGCTGCATACCTTGTAGGATAGTGAAGTTCTTGATGAGCTGGCCATGCTTGGAATCCACCAGCTTCATTTCTTCCATGATTACTGACAAATTGGCAACTTCAACATCTAACCTTGACCTCATCAAATCCTGTTGCACTTTGAGAGATGCAGAGTCTATGCGAATATTGGCTAGCGTGCTGTTCATAAAAATCAGCTCATCTGAGTGTTTACTTAAGGTGTCCGTGCAAGTTGTCCTGACTTCATTGAGATTGCTCGTCAGTGTCCGTAGGTGATGAGCAGTGTAGCTGATGTTGCTGATGATATTCACTATATCGGTTTCAAAGACCTGGAACCTTTCTTCTAGATGGCTGAATTTGGCAGCAGTTCTGTTTTCATCTCCTTTATGCTGTTCCTGGAGATCCTTTAGACTTTGTTCATTGGCTTGGGCAATTGTGGTGATGTTCTCCATCTGCCCACTGAAGGAGCTGAGCTGACTGTTCATGTCTTCAAGGGTATCATTGTTGGCTTTTGTCATTGCTGAGTTGTTGGCAGTCACAGCCTGTAAATTGTGTACTTTCTCCTTAAGCCAGTCAGTGTCCTTCCGGGCCTGAAGGACAACCTGCTGCAGATTTTGAAAGTCATTCTTGATTCTTAGAATAGCCGAGCTTGTATCTTCCACTGACTTCTGTAAGACACTGATAAGATTTCTTTGCTGTATTTGAGTCAGGTTTAAATTGTTAAGGCTCATCATGGCCACGTTATAAGAATGCTCTTGGCTTTGCAGGTTTGCTTGTATATTACTTGTGTCTTGTTGGAGATTGTTGATATAGCCAGTATATGCCTGAAGAGTCTTATTGACACTGATGATCGTGAAAGAGTTACTATCTAAGGCACTTTTCATTTGATTCTGTCTATCTTCTAATAATTTCCCAGACTCTTGCAGCTTCTCCAGTGTGTCTTTGTTTCTGCTAGTTTTCTCTGAAATGTCATGAAGCTGCTGACGAAGAGCCAGAATATCAGATCTGAAGCTGGACAGTTCAGTGTTAGTATTCAAGGCTTTTTGTCCAGCTTGGTCATCTGTTATACAGGGAAAAAAAAAAAAAAAAAAAAAAAAAAGGAAAGGCTTTAGGGTTTTTTTTAAAGCACCATATAAAACAGCACAGTGTATTTTAAGAACAGTCAGGTTGTCAAACTGTTCAGTAGAACTTTAATGCTATCTTTTCCAGAAAAGAGAAACCACTAAGCAAAATTCTGGCTCTAGACAGAGAAAAAAAGCAAAGAGGAATTGATGGAGACCTTATGTCTTGCTGAGGGGAACAAAACAGTGATTCTGTCATCACAAATGGGAAAAACTGTGGTTAGAAACTGATGAGTATATGAAGTCAAGAATGCTGTGCTCTGAATGAAAACTGAATGGGAAAGAGAATTCAAAACATTAAACAGGTACCAGCAAGTATAGGTTTTGACGTTACAGCTGGATTTTGCTGAAAGATCAAAAGTTTATTTTATCTGTTCATGTTTTCTTCTTTCTTTTCATTGCAAGTGGAATACCTTCATTGTGATTTAGTACATACAGTTCTAATTTTTGAAATCTTGGGTTCAGCTTTAAGTAAGTTCAGATACTTTTTTTAAAGCAATCTGGGTTAGAGACAAAAGCTTTGCCAACAGGCTACTTCAGATATGTCAGTATAAGGTATATTTCTGGTTTTCGCTCTAATACATTACTATTGCTTTTAATGACATTTATTTTGCCATTATTGTTTCCTCATGTTCTGAGTTTGAGGGAGGCAAAACCTTTAATCTTTGAGGAACATCTCTGCCTGTGCTTACATTGCCCTACGGAACACTTCTGGAAGCCTGTCCAAGTATGATAAAGCATTTGAGATTGCACAGCCTATCATCCAGGACATAGAAACCAAGGAAATAAACAGTCAACACTTGCTTTCAGGGAAGACTCCCTTGCTTGACCTCAATCACTTCACTATCCTGCTCACAGTCCATATATTTTTGTTCTCATCTATGTGTAGCTATACTTATGAATTAGACAGTCTCAAGTCCATAATTTCAGATGATGCCAAGAGAGAGCAGTATGGTTTTCATAAATTACAGTGAATACTGTATTATGTGCTGTGTATGGTGCTTTTGTCTGGCGTGATTGAATGAGTCATGATGGCAAATGTTAAATAATGGCTTTTGAGCCTTCAGCCTGAAGTGTTTATGGAATCTTTTGCGGATGGACATCTTCCTGAGCACAGCTCCTCTCCCTGCCACTTCTCTCACTCCCAGATCTTCTCAGCTCTATGTTTACCTCTTGGCTATAGCTCAAATTATACTGTGCTCCTCACACTTCTCCAACAACTGCCAGGTTCACATACAGCTAATCTCTGAAGGCCTGTCTTCCATTCACCACACGCTTTTATCCTTCTTGCCCTACAGCACTTCTCTTACTTTTATGTCTCCTACTCAAACTGCTCCAGAACTTTCCTAACTTTCTCCACGGCAAGTTCACTTAAATGGGCATGGATGATCCTGAGCATCTCACTGAGCATCCATCCAGCAGTGTGTAAAAGTGCGTGGCCATGAAAGAAGAAAATGTGCTCCAAGTCGTGAAAATTTAATCAGCTTAATATAATAACCCAAATAGAATCCAAAAGGTTGCATGAGCAACCTTTAGAGAAGTAAAGTGTAACATTTACTTCTGTAGATGTGTCAGTAAAAGAACATATCACTGAATTGCCCTACCTCTTTGAATTAAATGTAGTATGCAAACACTTTAGAAGCCAGCTCCTTTTTGAGGGAAAAAAGTTGTAAAAATTCATAATCAAGCTGCAAGCAAGGAAGTTTTCCTAGAAATATGTCTCAATATATGGTTTAAAAACTAGACAAAGTTTATTTCAAGAATCACATGCATGTATGTGTATTAATACTTCAATATTTCTACAATAAAAACTATATGTATAGGAAGAAAAGTAAAAATGCACACATAAAGAGTAGAATCTTTATCCATGATTTTTTTTACATCTTCCTGAAAACTGAGAACTTTGATAGGACTTCAGAGACCCAAAGAGATATCAATCTTAAGTCCTGTATTCTCTGAGGTGATCAAGAAGCAATTTATGGAAGTAATATACTTGCCTCAGACATAAGAATTTTGAATAGCTGATTATTTGTGTACCTTGAAAAGTGGTCTTCAGTTTTGAATCTTAATTGCTAAAACAGCATCAAGATGACTGGGTGACAGGTGCTCATTTTATGTAGAATCTTTTGTGCTGTAGAACAACTTCTGTTATGTTTTAGATCTCTGCCTCAGAGAAGATTCTCTCCTGAGGATAACATTTAAGTCTGTTTATTTAAGTATAAATGCTTTCAGAGTGACTTCAGTGAGAACTGTAAATTTTGAAGTATTCTTAAAATGCTCTTCTAAGTAGAGCTGATCTGAACTATTTTTAAGTACTTTCCCAATTACTTTTAAGTACTTTCCCAAGTACTTGAGAAACTGGAATGGAAGTGCTGTATCTTGTCATAGGCAGGGATTTTTCATACAAATTTCCTGCTTCAATCTGCCAGGAGAACACCCCAGGTCCATAATAAAAAGGGCCTTTGCTTGTGTGTAGATTACCTAATTTCTTCAGATCGCTCTCCACTTCTGTGAGCTTTTCTGTGTATCTTCTGTGGGATGTTTCCAGGCCACCTGTCACATTGTCCATTTTTTCTACAACTAGGGGAGAGAGAACAGTGTGTTATGAAAAGAAGAAAAGGGACATTATGAAAAAAGACTAGTAAACAATAAAGCAAACAGAACCCCATCCCATTACCACCAAACAGAAAAAAAAGAAAACACCTTAAAATTGCCTTGCTTGCCATTACACACTGCCATTGCTCTGTGAAATGTTGGAAGGGTGAGCTCCTATTTGCTGGTGGACCCAGAATTCTTCTACTTCTTCAGTCTGCCAGCAGTCCCTAATGTTTTTTCTTGCCAATGAAAAATCTCTCCTGAATGAGGAAATCCCTTGTTGTGGGTTTTCCTCACAAACAAAGTAATTTTCTTTTAACAGTATTTCCATGCTTCCAGCACAGTGCTGTGTGGCAAAGGAAATCTGATTGCTAAAGGTTCAGATGTGTGAAAGTAGTCTTCCTTTAATTTTGCTATGAGCCATTTCTCCTTAAAAAAGAATTTTTTTTCTTTGAGTCTTTTCATCATTAAAAGTTGCCACCTGGGTAGCAAACTTAGGACTGAGATAGTAATTACTAAATGTTTTGGGGGGGTTTAAACATATTGATAATGATCACTCAAAGCAGTCTTGAAATGATTCTGCCTCATTAAGATTGAAAGGATGGTCATTCAGGAAGTGCAGATTTATGACTGATGTGCCCTTCATTTTGTAATGCCTGGGTACATTTCTTGTCACTGAAACATTCAATTATTTGATGAAATTAATATGGGAATGGAAAAAGCAGAGCAACAGATAAACAGCCCGGGGTGTCTTCCAGTGGCTAAAATATTCCAGTGAAATACTTGCAAGGTTAGAGGTGGCCTAAAGCATTCGCACTAGACTTTGTCTAATTCAAGCCACAACTAGGGGTAGAAATTTCTCCTTGTCATGAGATTTAGTCCTTTTGCTACACTGGGAGCAGAATGAGTCTGTAACAACTCTGGGAGAGGTTACATGAGTTATTGTGCCAGCTCCTTTTTTCAAACAGAAGAAACAAAGTGTTTCCCATCTTTTGAGGTTCTGTAAACCTGTGTGGGGTAGGGGTACCTCTAACTTTCTGTCTGTGAAATGATCTGCAGCTAGGAAAGAGTTTCATAAAAGTTGTTGCTATGTAAAGGTTTGGGTTTTCACAAGAAGTGAAATTTAGGGATCTTTTGCTGTGAGCAACCACACGAATCCCAGACCTTTAAAAGGTGCTCCTTCTTTATTAATGTTTGCATTTGTTTTTCTGATTCTGGATACCACAGTTACACTGGAGGATTTTACTGCTTCCCCAAAACCAACATGAGAAAAACAGTCCAAGACTATCTGATGGAACATCACTGAGGAGTTACAACAGAGAAGAAGTCTCAGGATCTTCAGAGACCATACACCCTTTGGTGAGTTACCTGCCTGCTCCTTTCTAGGCTGCTAGCAAGCCAGTAAAACAGACTTTACTGTGTGGGCAGTCAGTCAGAGTGTGGCTTTCTGTATTTGAGATGATGACAGATTGCTTGCTAAACCCCAGACCCAGGCTACAATAATGGCTTTTCATTTTCAGAGGCACAGTTGCTCAATATCTTCTGCTTTAGAAAGCATTTTTCTTCCCATTATAGCACTAATTTTTCACTGGTTCTTCTGCCCATTAAAATTGTCAAAATGCTATATGCAATTTTTCCTAAATGAAACCAGAGTTGATTCTCTGTTTGTCCTGCCCTGCTGTCTTCCAGGCTGGAGCCCAGATCAACAAAGGTCCTTCAGCTACTTCTGACACTCCACTGCTGCATGTATACACCCATGCATCACATGCAGAGAGAGTGAGGACTTGGCTTTTCCTTCTGGCTCTAGGCAGCTCCTTGTTCAGTCTGTGGTGTTCTCCTTTGTCTACAGATAGTCACTGCCAGGGCATGGCTCACTCTGGGCACTTGGATTATGCAATCTTCTGTATTAAAAAGCAGGCCGAATTCAAATGTTTCTGCTGAGCCTGTGCCTTGACTAGTAATGTCACGTCACCTACAGTTCTTGTTAATTCAGTTTTAGTGTGATATTCAAATGTTTTCCCAGTTATACAACACATTTGGAGTTAGTAAATGAATATATATTATCAGTAATTAAAAGTAAAATGTAACTTCTTCCTTTTGCTGTCCAAATGAATGCTAGTTTGTACTTCAGATCTGAAGTTTGTAAAACTTACCTATCATATAACAAGTATGTTTTCATGGTTGAGTGAAATCTAACACTGAAGCTTGAGTTAAAATTTAACCCTGAAGAGTCCAAAGCAAATGTAAACAAAACAGTAGTAATCGTATTAATAAGTAGTTTTCTGGCAGTTAAATGAGACTGAACAGAAGTAATTATACAACAGCATAAACAGCATATGGTATTTTCATTGTTCAAAGTGAAAAAAAAACCCCAAACCACCGAACTCCAGCAGCAGAAACAAACCTGCTGGTCTCTGCAAAGCTGACTGCAGGGTTAGCTCAAGGACTAAACTGCCATCTCATAGATGAACCAATGCATGTATTTGCTTTATATTGGAGTGGGATCTTAGCCTCCATGGTCAAATAAATCCTGGGTTTGGGGAACTTCATCCCCTGACCAAACTCCTTCCCAAAGTAAGTTGTAGCTTATTAACTTTTTTTGCTATTGCCCTGCAAGTGGAAAGAATGAATTTGGGAGAGAATGAGTAGCAAGAGGCCAGTGTTGGGTTTTGTTGCTCTTGATGTCAAAAGAGGTCATATGGACTGATGTCCTGTTATTGGGAACATCTTTCCTTCCCTGGAGGTGGCTTCCACCACCATCTCTGGATGGTGGTAGGTGAGCATGTGGAACACTCTCAGAAGTGGAAGTCAGCCTCTAGCAAGTGTTCCAGAAGTGAAAAGCCACTTTCCACTTTCTCCAGAAAAAGGCAAACAGGCAGATCAGCTGTAATATCCCACACAAAAGGCCATGTTGCTGCTCCCAACAATCTTCCTGAACTTAAACAGACAAAGTTGTGTTTGTCTTAACTTGCTATTGGTTAACTTCAGCTTAATTCAGAGTTTGGTCTCTCTGCATTGTCATCTCAATTCCTGACAAGATCACAGTGGAAAATGTGGTAAAGGTCCTCTAAAGAAAGCCCAAATTTCAAGTAGTTGCTGACCAGAACAGTGAGGACTGTTTGCATCTAAGCCACTAAGACAAAATGTGCCATTTCACCAGGATGTGTTGGCCCCAGGTAATGGCAGAAAAACTATGTCTGGGAGACAGATAAAAGAAGCCGATGAAAGTCATGGTGGGCATTACTCAAGAAACTTAAAAACAAGGACTGACTAGAGAATAAAAACTACCAGAAATTCAAGCTGCAAGCATTCCCTTACTGGAATGAGCCACAGGAAGATCATTCATCTTCAACAGACTAATCCGACACTGGCTGGTGCCAGAAAAATAATAACTTTGTATTTTTCATTTAATTTCATAAAGTATGTGCAAAAATTGCAGATTGCCTTATTAATGTTTTAAACAACAATTTGTCTTCTCAAAGCAAAAGAATACTAAACTTGCCTTGTTATTCCTTCATGTTGTTTCCTAGTTATTCATTCATGTTTTGGTTTCAGGGTTCTCCAACATACTATGTAATTTTTACCACTAGTTTGGAGGTTTGTGCTGTGTTGACTTTGCCTCCCATTGAGTTACTTCTTTGCTTGCCATATTTAATCCACTGATTAGTAGTTTTAACATTTTAAATCACAAAGGATATTTAAATGCGACGTAGGAAATGAAAGTTTTAAAAGTAGTTTTGGGCTTTATAAACACAAGAGTGGGAGGCAAATTTAATGGAAACTTAGCTAAGAGACTGAAAGAATCCCTGATGCCAGCAGAATTCCTTCTTCCAGTGTAATAGTGCAGTAAAAAAGAGAAGCCAAATTATGATGCAGAGAGGGGAGTTCAGGAACAATATACTTTTATTCCGAGTTTTGTTCTTCCTTTAAAGACTAATCCTTTCTCAACAATCAAAACTGCTGCAGTAATTAATTTGAATATGTACTGTCAGCTGGGGTTTTATCTAACTTATGTTTTCCCTCCAAATTAGCACATAGGTACCCTGAAGACAAAGCTCTTAAACTGGAGGTACAAAGGGCAGAATTAATGCCTGACACATGACCATTTGCTGCTTGGTGTTACAGAAGGAATACTTGGATTCAACAAGACTTTTGTCTCTTTGCCACTTTCCCTTGGCATTCAGCTGTTGCTATCATCAAGCTGGTGAGTGGTGGGGCAGTGGTCACCAAAATGTCTTGGGGTCTGCGAGCAAGATATGCATTATCCACCTTCCTACAATGCTTTTTACATTTATTTTTGGAAGAGGGAATTCTGTCCTGGATAGCTGTGATTTGGTATTGCTGTGACAGAAAGACTCATCCCTGAGGAGTGACTGCTCATTCAAAGAAGGAAGTTTAGAAATGAGTGAAGCAAAGTTTGAGCCTCAAGAAGAGAGCAAAGCCTGGGGAAAAGATGGTGCTGGAGTCCCCATAGAGAAAGAAGCTTGGAAACTAGATTGAAATGAGGAAGACAAACTCCTTCTCCCAAAGTCTTCTGGACAGTTTCCTTATTGCTACTGCTTCCTCCACACATGCAAATCATGTGCCAAAGCAAGATAAAGAGCAGCAGTCTCTCCAACTTGGTATGCTGCATCTGATGCTGAGTGAGGGCTCAGTCTCCTGGGAAGCCCCAGAACTGATAGCTCTGTATAAAACTCTTGAGGGAAATTGTGCTAAATTCCAGTTGTTCAGTGGCTGGGTTAAGTCTGGAAGGATCCCATTCTCATCTGATGTAAGCAGATCTCTGCAGATTTATATCTGCAAAAGGCTTCCCCTAATCCATTTGACCAAATGATCTTATATTTATAGATCAAGAATAAGTTTTTGAATCCTGGAAGGTTTTTTGTCCCTCAAAATCTGACTTCCAGAGACCAGTTATTTCAGGAGATGCAGTCACATACATGTACTGCATTTTTTTTCACATTTGATGTAAATTTGCCACCTTCTCTCTGCTTTATCATGAAACAAGATTACCTAAGTCTCTCTATCTCTTCCTCACATTCTCTCTTCTCCCTGGATAAATCTTCCATCTAAACAAAACAGTTTTAATTTTCTCCCACTCAAAACTGTGCCAAATCCTCTTAAATAATTATTTATCCTTTCTATTTCTACAATTTCCTTTTCTTTCCCTGGCAAAGGACCAGAGGTGATGTCAGCTCTGCTATGAGTGCAGCTGTTGGCAGCACAGGATGCACTGCATGCTAATCACATGAATATTTACTCAGCTCCTTGGAGGGGTTTTGAAGCTACTCTCAGAGCCATACTCAGACAGGTAGTTTAGAACTAGCTTGGTTTTCTCTGCAACAAACTGTGATGCCCTGTTATAATGCTCACAATGATGTTGTTTACTTTCCTTTTCATGCCAGAAATTCACATCTTATTTAACTTATTATAGCTGTAACTGCACAATCAGCAGGTATTTTCATCAAAATATTTTTATAAATGCCTAAGTGGCTACAGTTAATTAGTGATAAGGATTTATGGGAATTCTAAGTCCTGTTTCCCAATGTGCCCAACTAATAACTTGCACAAGTGAAATTCTCTCCATTCCAGGGTTGCTCAACTACCAGAATCTTTGAAATTACTGTTAAAAGCACCTAAGTGTCTTTGCTCATCACAATTATTGGTGGATAATCAATACACTGGTACCTCCTGGTTTAATTTTTCTTCTTCCTGATATTTCAAAGTAATATTGATACTACATTTTGTTTTTGTGATAAATATTATATTAGTAAGATCTGTCTGGCTGTTGCACATGTTACACAGCTTTGTGTCTTCCAGTACTCCTTCTTGGTGGAGGAATGATCATTTTGTTTTAACTTCCCTTTCAAATGTATAATCTGGTTTCAAAATTTCATAATTATTTGAAAGTGAAATTCTAAGGTTGCAGTTTGTTGTTATGTACATACAAAAAGCCAACATTGCCCAAGTACTGATATTTAGGCTAAAATGTGACAAATTTCCTGGCTAGATAATAAGTGACAATGTGTTTGGATGCTTGTCTGAAAGTGAAATGTTGGTCTCAATGCATACATACCTTTGTATCCCAGAATGGCTACTGTGATTGTTAACAGGGCACATAAAATGTATAATAAGATGATGGAGAACTTCAGTGCCCAGTTATTTTTGCACTTGGTACATTGGCTCCCCTCCTGAATACCTGCAACAGAAGATAAAGAAATTTAAAACAATTTCAAAGAATACAGTGCCGGATTTATCTCCCTACCTCCTTTCCTTTTTTTTCTAAATAGCAAATTATTTATCTAAGTAGATGATGTTTTCATATGGGGTGCCTATTTGCCTATGCTGCCAGGATAAAAAATCACAGTGGTTAGAACATCTGCTCAGTGAAACAATCACTTTGGGATTTTAGCATGTGTAAGAGAAGTAGGTTCTGCTTCACTGGATGACCTCTGGCTTTCCTGAGAGGTGGCTGTTTTCTGATTGTGCTAACAAGACTATGGTGAGTTTTGGAAATAAAACCTTTATTAGCATCTCCTCTGTCAGGCATCACACTGCAGCAGCTCTCTCCTAGCATTTGGTATCCCTGTGGGGGCAATAGGACACAACAAATGTTCTAGCAGAAAAAAACCACAGAAATAAAAGAGCATTGTGAAAAACTGGTAGGAGTAGTTCTGCTTTGTAACAATCACCACAGACAGTTACCATGCAGACACTTTCTTTCCACAATGAGACTTTTTGCATATTTTTGGGGGGTTTTGGAGAACACTATTTCCACAGAAAAGAAGGGATGCTTTACTGATACAGTGATCTGTTCATCCACAGAAAAAGTGCTGGTGAATTTCTCTTTGTGGACAAGCTTAAGAAAAATGGCCTCAAATTGATGAAAGAAAACAGAGCTTTACTATTCTATATTTAAACTTTTTCCCAGAACAGCTTGGTATCTTTTAGTCTATTAGGGAAGCAATTTTCCTCTTTTGTGCTCCTTGGGAATAGCTCAAGAGTGTTGGGAGCATGGATTATTAATCAGAAGCACAAATGTGTAAAAACCTGAAAACTGGACCGACGTGCTGGAAGAAACAGATGGGATTTATCCATCTTTCTAAGGTATGCTAAGCAGGCCAGGATTAATGTAACTTTGTGTCTGTCAGAAAATGCATTTCTTTGATATTTCACTCTATTTGTGTACTATTAGGGGAGTCCCACAGGAAAGCTTTAAGCTCTAATAAATTCTATGTACCAGATTACTTAACTAATCAAAACTTGCTCTGTAGCTTTTTATGAGTAACTTATATTTCTCCCGAGGCCTAACACACAGATGATTTTACTTTTCCAAACTCACAACCTTCTGCAGAGTGACTTTTTATTTTTCATTTTTTAAGAGAAAAGCACAGACCACTTCCCCTGGGTTCAAGAAGGATGGGTGACCAACATAATGAGTTAAGTCAACTGCATTTCTCTCTCCAGTGACATTTTCCAATGGCTTCCTTTAAACTTAAGGTACTTGAAGAAGGAAGGATTACCATATTGGAGCAACTGAGGAAGAGGATTTATACAAAGTTTATTTGACAAGACGTTTTCTTCAATCCTCTCTGCACATATACTCACTGTGGGTAAGGCAGAAATGCATCTTTTTCAGGTCTTTTCCACATTACCTCATCACATGTTTTTTCTAAACTTTTCAGGTGTGACATCACATTCTGTTGCCATGCGATGAAAGTGATGTCATAGATTTGGGTTCCTTGTGGTTTAGGCATAAGACCAGCTGGGAACATCTGGTTCTTTTTTCAAGAACATTATGGGAAAATGAGACAAAGGCTTGTAAGCATAAACTCAAGAACAGAAATTCCAGAGGGTAAAGGCTTCTCTTCTGCCCATGGGGTGGGAAGGGAGGGAGCTGGCACGGAGACAGGCAGCTCCATAGCCCATTTATTGATGACTTGGATTTGGAAGGGTGGTAACTCCTGCACCACAAAATAAAAGGTGAAGGGTCCATAATTCCGTAGTCATGTTTGCTTATGGATCCTGATGCATGGGCTGTTTTGCTTTCTTTGGTTTACAGTCTCAAGGAGTTTGCTGGTGAGAAAGCTCTAACTGCTGAAAAAGGCAGGAAAAGGAAAGTGCAGTTTTCTAAAGGTCTGAAATAGGTATTTAGAGACTGAAATGATTTCACATGGGAACTTGGTGGTGTCTGGAGCACCATATTGCTGGTTTTAGCAAGTACTCACTGAGCCCCGTGCCCTAAATGCAGGGTTCCTTCTCACTGAAGGGTTTAAAATTCAGATTCTAATTTGGTTGTCTTTGAAAGTCCCACATATCCAAAAACAAGCTTGGGACAAAACTCACATCACATTCACTTTCTAAATACAAGACAAATAGAAAGTTTGAGCCTCCTTATTTTAATGTTAATTGAAGCAGACATAGATCCTTATCTGGGAAAAATGATGGAATGCAGAGGTACAAAACACAGAGAAAGGCAGAAGTAAAAACAAAGCCTTTGGCAGCAATTGCACAATGAAAAGTTTCACTTGATAAGTGTCTCATAGTCAGATTACTCATTTTATGACATGACCTGCTTTCTGTCACTGTACTCTGGCTTCCTGGGTAATGTAACAAGCTGAAACTTCACCGATGTCACTGGGTGTATTGCAGTTGAGCATCAAGCATCATGTATGTTCCAGTGCTTCACATGGATCTAGTTTCACTTGTCTCAACCCTCTCTACCCCTGGTTCAATAAAGCAGCACTTTGGCTTTTTGGAACTTTTTGTTTCAGTGTATTTCAAACTGACATCAGAACAGCACCCCAACAAAAGCCAGACCTCCATCCTTTTACAGCCCAGCACGGTTGGTATCAATAACACAGGCACATCACACTAAAACAATCATACAGGCTGGAGTGATTCCATTAACTAACTGGCCTGGAACTGTGTACTGCATTCCTTACTGGGGCTTTCTGCCTGTCAGCCTAAAACTACTTCTGATTGTAATGAACTCCTGCTACCCTCATCTAACATGACCCAGGTCCAGGCTGGAGTGAAAAGCCAGGGAACTCTAACAGGCTCCTTTGTTTTCTTTTACCTAGGGTACAGTAAAGTCTTTCAGAGCAATTATATTTGCTCTTTATTACAAACATGTAGTGCTTTACTCAGCTGCTAGTAACACATGACTTTCCAGTTTACTAAACATATAAAAACTACTACAAAAATACCAATACCCCTTGAAAAAAAGATTTGGAAGACTCATTCTGATGTCTTTCTGAGCAATTAAAGACATCAGGCTATATGCAAAAGCCAGGAATGCAACTCTCTCTGTATAAGGATGAACTACAGTATAATCAGAGCTCCCCAAATTCCCCAGCACACGCCCTGACTTCAGCTTGCCTTGTTATTCTTCCCCACTACCTCACTTAAGGATCATGCCCAAATAAGATTGTTCTGATAGAGGAGATGCATTTAGTCCATGTTGTGAGGACACATTTTTATTCAAAGGTTGTTCTCAAATGATGTGATAGCCAAAATATTAAGCAACAACAAATGGGAGACAATTAAAAATGCTTACTGTGGTTACACAAAACCCGGCAGGTTGGCATAAATTCATGCAGGTTTACCACAAAAGTTGTGAGTTGAGGCTTAAAGGAGCCCATGCTTAACTTCTGCTTAATTTGGCAGAAGTTCCCCAATTTTATCCACTAGACTGCTTGCTGTTGTGACTGACATAAAATGCAGAATTCTTCTAGGAGATGTATCACATTTAATCTAGAAAGCTGCAGACTAAATTGAAAGACCCTACACACACATCCCATTGACAGAACAGATGTAAAACCTGCAAAAGGGCGTTCTCAGCTGAAGTCAGCTCTTCTCCATTTGTTAATGATGCTGCTAGTGCAGCACACTCCTCTCTGTGTCCTGTACACGTGTTTTCAATGCTGGTCTGCTCCCAGACATTTGTCACTGACTTCCAAACCCAGGGAGCTGGGGTCACTTCCGCATGACGTGCATTTCTCACTGCTGATTTGATCAATGTTTAATAAATATCAGATGGGACACAGTGTGCCTCGTTTCACTGGACATATGCTTTTTTCCATTCCTTTCCCTGACTTATTTTAATAAGAGCTCTGGTTTTTCTGCCTCACTGTTGGGAAGACATCTGGCCAAACAGACAGCAACCTAGTACAAAGAGATCCTGCTGGCTCACATGCTTTGGGGACCCCCTTCTCTGCAAACCAAAATGCTCACGAAAAAATATGCAAGTGAGACATCCCCCTGTTACCAGGCTTTGTAGTATTTGTTTTTATAGCATTGCATTCCAGTGACTGAAGACTTTGTTCTCACGCAGGGGGTATACATCTGCAGATTCCTTTTGGGCTCCAAGAAGAGGTTTTGCTGAAGGAGGACCTGGGTTTTTCAGGTTTATTTGTTTGGGGGATTTTTGTTGTTGTTTTGTTCCATGGTTTTAATGGGAGACTAAATAGTTTTGCTCTTTGTAACCACCTTACAAAATGCCTAACTCCTCAACTGTATTACACTTCAGGAGCACATCTTTGAACACTGGAATAAGACATGAACACACTTTTTTTTTTCCTAAATAATTCTCTTACAAGTATTTGCCTCTCTGTTCTTTTCTTGGCTCTGGCTGCACAATCATAGGTGGCCTCTAACATTTCTGCTAGCAAATCAATTTTGACAAAGATGCAAGGTTTCCTTCATAACCCTGACAAGAAATAAGAATAATAATAATGATAAGATAAAGAAATGTAATACAGGAAATGAAAATACATTAGTTTGGAGGGGGTTTCCCCAGTGTGATTCACTGAAAAGAGATAACATCCCTTGAATTTCAAAAGGAAGACTGCAAGCCTACTTTGCACCCTTTAAATGATTGCTTTCTCAAACTTAATGTTTTCAAAACAGTAGTGGATCTAATACCTATATTTAAAGGGACCTGAGCAAACTATATACATCTAATTCAGGCCTCCTGCCCTGGAAGGTGCCACTGCCCATAGCAGGGAAGCAGAAACTGCTTGACCTTTGGGTTCCCTTCCAACAAGAATCATTTAACTAGGAGTCAAACACTGAGAGGTAATTAACATTTCAGAGTTGCAACAAGCTCCCAGTGGTGTCTATCTCACTAGCAAAAGTAGGTAATCCCATGAGGAATCCATCTCTATGTTTATATATCTAAATGTTTTGAAAAACCTG